TTCAAAGTTTCTAAACACTCCTCTAATGCTTGCAGGACCAGGGTTACCTAAAAAGCACCCATTAAAGTTGAGTTTAGTCTGACCTTCTAGGGGAGGGGTCCATCTAGGATTGATTTCACTTTTATAATGGGTGAGGAATAGAAGATTACTCCATTCTTGTAGAAAGGAAGATGCCGAGATTCCCGTAAACCATTGATGGTGGGTTGCCCAAAAAATAACAGTTTTTTATTTTATGGAAGAGAGTGAGGGTGGAGTTCTTTTCCCCTCGAAACGTTCTAGAGTTTTTTTCCTTCCAAAGGTGCCATAGGGTAGCCGCTAAGGATGCTTTCCACAGAATTTTACCTAATTTTCTCCATTTGTCCTCGAAAGAATGGGCTATCAAGGACGGAATGGAAGGTGGAATCACCCACGTCAAACTAAACAACTGGATGAGTTTGCTCCATACAGAAAAGGCGAACTTGCAGTGTAATAACATGTGTGTAACATTTTCTTTCTCTTCTAAGCTCATTACACATCTGTTAGGTATTTTGAAAGCCTATTTTCTGGAGATTATCAATGGTTAGGGGTTTTCCTAGAGTTGCAAGCCATTGAAAGAATTGGGCCCTAGGTGGAGATATAAAGTTCCATGCTTTGCTTGAGATGTCAGAATAATCATTCCCCCCTGCTAGAACCTTGTAAAAAGATTTAGCAGTGAATCTTCCTGATGGGGAAGGAGTCCATATCATCGAATCCTTCCCTGACTGAGCGAGGAAGACTCCATACAATTCCAGGCTTAGAGAAGAGAAAGCAATAAGTTCGTCCTCAGATCGCTGCCTTTTAAAAGACGGACTCCAAGTCCTTCTGCTGCTTGAGTTGGTCATGATCTCCTCTATTGTGGATTCTTTGCAGTTATAAAGGATATAAAGTGAGGGGAATTTGGCTTTGAGTGTATAGGAGGCTAGCCACTTGTCCTCCCAGAATCTCACTCTACTTCCTCCTCTTGCATGGAATCTAATGTGCTCTCTAAAGGTTGGGAGGATGGATCTTAAAGAGTTCCATATGCCTGACCCTGATGTAGGTGTGTTAATCTCTGGCAACCACTTTGAAGAAGGGATGTTGTATTTGCTTTTTATCACCTGAGCCCATAATTGGTTCTCGTGATAAGCTAGCCTCCACCATTTTCCCAGGAGTGCCAAGTTTTGTTTCCTTAAGTCTCTAATCCCCAAACCTCCCTAAAACAAGCTTTTTTATCTTGAATCGAAAGTTTTTGGAAAATCACTCTCGAACAAGAAGTTTTCAATTTCTTGTGAAATCGGAAGGCATTCGACCCGAGACTTTTAGTTGACCAAAGAGGTTGCAAGAGAGAAGTTTTGGCATTCAAAATTAAGCAATTGAAGCCTACTCTTCAATTGGATTGGAAAGATTAATAGATTTAAATGTTTTATGTTTAGGGTTTCATTTTTTTTTTTTTTGAGCATTGTATTATGTTGTCTTTTTTTTAGGTAATTCTAAGTTCATGAACATTTATTTATTTGTAATGTCATGTTTGTATGTTAGAACTTTAAATTTGGAACTCTACAATGTGTTGGAATTTTTTGGATTTGTGGATTGTGTTGAAGTTGAACGTCGAAACTTTCACATTTGAAGTAATGTTTGAAATGCTTATGGATGTACATTTATGTTATGGGACTTTGTATTTTCACTTAAATGGCTAATGGGTGTCAAAAATCCCCCATCCCCACTTTTCTGACCCACCTTCACTTCCGCCCCCACCCCCACCCCCACCCCCACAGTCCCCTACACGGTGGCCTCCATGTGCCCTCGGCACCCGGCGGCTGCCCGGATGATCGTTTTCGTCTGCTTGAACATAGAGTTCCCTTAAGACCACTTCACTTCCGAAACCCCCTTCTTTACTCATCCATGCCTTATAAGAAGCCCAAGGCGGTCCCCGGGGTCTATATTTATAAGCTATTTGAGATGGGATTTACACCCTCTGGCACCATTCTTTAGAAGAGCCTCAAACAATTTCTTTTAGGAAAAATATCTCTGTAGACTTTATTTTTAGGTTTTATTTCTCCATATACCGAAAGTTTCAAAACCTATCTTGTGGCATAGAGATTCTATCTATTATATCTTCTAACCCTCTAGACCAACTTTATCCATTTTTACCTCATTGTTTTAGCCCAATTTTTGTTTAAAAAGATATCCTTTCTAAATTCCCCCCCTCTCTCTCTTCAGGTGTTTTTCTTTTTCTCTCTCCTTGTGAATCTTCCAAACCCCTTTCTCTCTAAAAATTTGGGATAAAAATGGGGAGAGAGAGAAAGAGTTGGGGGAAATATGGAGAGAGAGAGGGGTTTGGGAGATTCATGGGGTGAGAGAAAAATGGGTAAAGTTGGTCCAAGGGGTTGGGAGATATAATAGATAGAATCTCTATGCTGCTAGATAGGTTTTGAATCCTTGGGTCTATGGAGATATGAAACATAAACATAGGGCCTACAGAGATATTTTGCTTTTTCTTTTAAGTATGATGTTCGCATCATACTCTTTGCTACTTTTTTTTTTCTTTATGAGGAAAAGATTTTGTGGTCCCAACGACCAATACTATTGAAATTAGCCCACACCTGACTCCACTATATTTTTCTTGGGCTTTTGTAGCGCGATGGACCCTCAAGGGCTCCAACCACACTCCAAAACTTTCTCCTTCAAGTAAATGTTATTTGGGCTTTTAACTTTAAAAAAGCCCAAAATCCATTTCTAACATCCATCAAATGAATGATCCAAATTTGATATTGGGGGGAATTGGATTTGGACATTGTTTGAGCACCAAAGTGTGGTTCCTTTTTTTATCTAATTGGGAGAGGGATCCTGGAGAGATGACTGATGTTGGGTGCTCAAGGCATCATTGACATTGGTTCGTGTTTGGGAGCTGTTTCCATGCAGACTTTGAATAGGTACTATCCCTTTTAAAATAACCCAACATATGTGTATCAACACACATTAGGCAAACTCAAAAAAGGGGAAAATATTGTCCACGGGGTTAAAACCCCTTACAAAATCATTAAGCGGTTTAGAAGATCCCAATAAACATTAAATGGTTTACTTTTTAAGTTTCATTTTACTCAGATATCTCTTCAAAAAATATCTTGAAAAGAACCTAAGTTGCCCATATTCAGGGTTGAAAATGTTGAAATCAACGCCATTTCAGTAATTTGGCCTAAGCCCAGTGACTGGGTTCCACTGCTTGTTTTGGGTGTATTAGTTACTGAAATGCCCTTGGTCAGGGTTGCTAATCTTGAATAGGGGCAATCTGGGATTTTTTTGAAAATATATTTTGAGGGGCTACCCAAGTGATACGAAAACCTAAAAATAAACCTTCTAATTTTTCCTTTTTTTCAGTTAATTTTTGTATGTGTATCGCTGTATAAAACCATTCACAATTGAGGCAGACACTTGTGCCCATTTACAAAAAATGAGGCCTAAAAAGCCTGCTATACAAAGAATGGTGGCTGAGACAGCATACTCTAACAAAAAAAAAAAAAAAAAGCCAACAGAAAACCAAAAATCTGGGAACCTAGCTCAAAAAATCCCTGGGTTGGTTCCACTGGTGGGAGAGCATGAGGTTGCACCTTCCTTTGCTAGCGAATCTGCACTAGAGATCACCTCCTGCCATATCTGTTGTAATGATGTAATGAGACATGAATGAGGGAGAACAAGTGCTAAAAAAATGTGATCCAATCGCCATTGGCAAGTGGAAACACCCGAGGCCTAAGCAATGACATTTTTGTAGTCCCCTTCAATGACTAAGGAGTTCCCCAATCATTATTAAATCTCTTAATTCCCCTAAGAGTGCTACTGCTTCTGCCGAGATTAAATCTTCTACGCCAGTGTACCTGGATTGGGAAAGTAAGATGTTATGATTGTGGTCCGTATAGAGTCCCCCATAACCAACTGGACTGGGGTGCCAAGGGAGCAACCGTCAAAGTTGAGCTTGATTTGGTTGGGTTCAGGGGGATCCCTATAAGGAGTACGGAGTACCAAGTGAATCTTGGTGGCCTGAAATCCAAAGACCCTTGTCAGTTGTTTAGGAAGTTGGAAGTGGTAAGACCTTTAAGACCCTGGTGGTTATGGGCCAAAGAATGACCAATGAATTGATGTGGTCCCTCAGTGCTGTGGGATTGGACTCCTCCCTTTGAAAATTCTGAAATTTTGTTCGGTCTATAGGGGTCCAAAAGGTGGCTGCCACAGAGGCCCTCCACAGGAAAATGCCTGCCACCAGCTGAGGGGAGAGGAGAAGGCTTGGAATAGCTGCTGTGTTGACTGTGGGATCACCCAATTCCACCCGAAACTTTGTAGCGGCAAAAGAAATCCAGCCACCTCACAATGCAAAAAGAGGTGGTGGTTGTCTCCTCTGCTGATTTGCACAAAGTATCCATTCGTTCCTCTTTAATTTAAAGTTGTTTATGACATTCTATCCTGTTTGTGTTGTAGCTAATTTTTAAGTTATGTCTTGGAGGTATGGAGTCATAAATTGTTGCAAACTTATTGTTGCAGCCTGGCATTTCTGATTGTTAGGGTCGTCATTTATGACTACTTTAGTGTGTCTAGTGTGCCTTACTTGACTACATGAAACAAAACAACACAAGTGCACATGTGCACCCAGAGGTAGGGAGGAAGGTAGGGCTAAAGAATATTTCATAAACTATCCTTTTGCAACCTATTTGTATTATTCTAATGACTGAATCCTTAAACTATCCTTTTGCAACCTGTTTGTCTTACTCCAATGACCGAATTTGGGCATCCCGACATTTGTACATTCCTTCTGCAATTTTTTTATGATTAATGGATAACCACTTCTGTGATCCATTTATCGTGAAAAATGGATAACCAATTGCACTGGCCTCCCTTTCACACCTCTTGTTTCTTCCAATGAAAATAAAAGAAAAGGATAGCCTTTATCAGTATGATTTATGTCCTGATGTGATCTCATAGTGGGATAACCTTAATGTATTGGAGTGTTGCAGGCCTTGGCATTAGTTGGTGATCAACTGGATTGTGGAGACAACATATGTGGAGCCGTGCTAAGTATCCGTTTCAGTGAGGACATTCTAAGCGTTTGGAATCGGAATGCATCCGACCATCAGGTCAGTAACACTCTATAATGACTTATCGTGGCTTTTATTTTCACTGGAAAATAAACCATATTCTAATATACTGTGGTCTATGGCTTTCAAAGTATATCCACTGTCAATTACACCACTTAATCTCGTAAAATATTGGTCGGTGACAAGGAATGGTGTATGTAGCCTTGGAATGCTATATACAACCATTTGTACACTTTTTCTCTTTTGCTTATTCCTCGAGGGTTTTTTCTTTTCTTACCAGACTGTGATGGCTTTGAGAGATTCAATCAAGCGGCAGTTGAAGCTTCCTCATAGCTATGTGATGGAATATAAAGCCCATGATGCTTCTTTGCGTGATAACTCGTCATACCGAAACACATGGCTGAGAGGATAGAGGGGTCCACGCATCTTGGATGCTGCCAGGTCTTGCGTAGGTTGTGAAGCTCTAGGAAAAGCAAGTGAAGCTTCATATGAGTTCCAACCTGTGTACTGATTGATCATGCCATAAAAGATATATTACTCAAGGTGGATCTGGTTGCCTCCATCAGAAGATTCCTAATGTCCGGGTGTACTTTTCGTTTTTGTCAAACTAAGAAATCCATGGACTTAAAAACTGTGAATGGAATAGAGATGATACCTATTCTCTTCTTTGAACAATACAATGCAAATTGCATTTTCGAGCCTCATGGATTTAAAGTCTAGTTTACATGGGATTTCATGATTCTATTGCGAAGGTCTGAGACATATAGTACACGTCACTCGTGGGGAATCGATGGTAGTATCTCGCAGCCAGATACAAAATAAATGTATCGGCACAAGGGTGGGTCAGCCAGCCAGATGTATAGTTTTGCTGCGGAAACCTTCTCGAAGAATATGCATGTGTGATCAAGAGGCAGAAATGCAGCAAATAATTTGCAAGATAAAAAAATGTTAATTCAAAGATAAAACAATATTATGACTTAGTTGGCCAACTACATGGATGGGTCATGAGGCAAGCATGTATCTCAACTCCGAATTGAGGCATCCACGCCACTGGCAGGACTATCAAAATCTCACCGCCACTAATTCAGCGTTTCTTTATTTGGATTCGTGCTTGGGATTGAATGCTTAGGTGTTGGAGGTTAAATACTGTCGCAAGTTTGAATTCGACAGCGGAATTCACATAAAAAAAATATAGTCTTTGAAATAAATAAAAAAATGGCAGGAATTTAAGAACGGAAAATGTTTGTATGAGATTACAGTATTTGAAATGTAAAATTAAATATGCACTTCAAAAATCCATCATAAAAGATTGTTTAGATATTGAAAAACCCTCTAATTGATCATCTCAATGTACGAATATGAAAAGAAAAAAAGATTACGAATCCTAAAAATAGTGTATCTTACAACTCATCATCTGGACAGTCTATTTTCAAGATTTTCATGTATTTATAACCCCTCAGTTATTTTTCCGATTGCACGGTATTAATTTTATAAGTATGTTCAACCCACCCCCTCACATATCTTTTCTTCTTTCTTTATTTTTACCTCCTCTACAAAGAATTACTTTTATCTCAATAACTCCCCTTTCTCATCTCTTGCGTTTTTAGAATCAAGAAAACGAGTATCCAAAAAATATTGCACGTCTTATTTAGGGTAGTTATTGGGGTGAAGATTGATATATACCTCTAAAAATCAAGGGAATTTATGACGAACTATTCAAGATTTTACCCATTTGCACCTATTCAAAGTCGTGATCATGTGAATGAGTATTTTAAAATCAAATAAAAAATGGGCAGAATGTTAAATACTTGACCTCTCACAGGTACTGACGTAAATTTCAAAACAAATCAATATTGCACGATAGGAAAATGAGAAAGGAGGTTATCATGAAATTGAATTCTTTTTTAGGGGTCTGTACAAATTTCCCAATGAAAAATTTGACAATCTAGGCTTGATTTTCATTGATTTTGGAATGATTTTTGCATCAATCAACCGAGAAATATCTCTTTTTCACATCCGAAAGCTGTAAAAACAAGACTTGGGCTCACTCCACCAGTGTGGGAGAGAGTTTGGTAACAGCTCTGGCTGACTCGGCTAGTTTTGAGTTGGTTCGGCAATTTTTAAAACCCTTGCATCAAGATAATCTAGTACATCATGTATTCCTTCACAAACTTTAGTACCAAAGTCTCCAAAAAAAGTTAGACCACATTTTTTTTTAATGATATCATCATACGAGGATGATGATGAATGAGCAATACTGTCGTTTGTCTTGGTAGCTGAACAATACCTTGACATGTGTTGTAAGTAAATTTTGAGACTCAAACTTGAAGGCATCGACTCCATCTTCAAACCTCAGTCCTATGGGCAATAAATGATCCCAAAAGGAGACCATAGTTGAATGATTGAATCACTTTTGAAGACTCAACCAGACCTGAAATTTTTTGTACTTATTTCAATAAGTGAAATAATTACAGTAGCACTTAAACTTACATTGTATTTATAGAGTAGCCTTCTAATAATCTATCAACATACATGAGAAAGTAGCCCTTGTTATTTTGCTTTTTTAAGTAATGGAAGTGCGACCTTTCTTTGTCATCTCTTCCATCCAAAATTCTTGGTTTTTACACTGATGATTGCAGACCAATGACACCTGCAAACACAACAAAGAACGCATTTACACAGTATTCTTGCTCGACTCTCAATTTCAGAAGAAACTGTTAAAAAGAGGAAAAGTTATCACTTAAGCCTACATATCCTGCTTATGGTGTATGCCATATATGCCTACACAGCTGGGTAATTCCACCAGCCATTCCATAGAAGATCTGTGGGGATGGACCACAATTCTGAAAAATTATGTCAGTGGAATGCCTCAGGAAAAAGATTGTGGATGCCCCCGTTGTACATTATGTATACTATCCATAAGACATGCATAGTATTGTTTCCCATAAAAAGGTACAGGAATATGGTAAGCAGAAAGTATTAATACCGCATCCGACTCGGCCACCTGCATTTCCGGTTGCTTTACTCAACTCATGACCACCTGCAGCAGCATCAATGATTGCATTCAGCATGACTCAATAGATCTTGGAGGATAATTTTCAGTTCAAACCGAGGTTATCAAATGTACAATGCGGTGTAATGTGCTAAGGAGGTCTGATGCCTCCATGCAGCTACGAAGCAGGCACATCATTTCTGATGAAGACACAATTTTTTAAGTATTAAAAAAAAAGAAGAAATTGATAAGAACACAAAGAATAACATGTGTGATTTATATGACAGTAGGCCTTTAAAGTTGGTGTGTTTCCCCAATATATATATATTGTCTGAGTCGCTGACAGAGAGTAACAGACATCTTGTCTCTATACTCTAAACTAAAATGTAAAACAAAATGATCCAATCCATTCATTAATTCATAAAAACATAAAAGAATATGTCAATATACCAAGCACTGGAGAAAGCAAACATAGTATATATTATTGAAAGAAATTAAAACTAGCAATCGTAGCAGACAGTCAAATACTAAGTACTTCACAAGTGCATCCAAAAACCAAATATACATGACATAAAATACCAAGAGGTGAGTGTATGTAACTATACTCAGTCCAACTTCAAGTCATACACATGTACGACTCCTATATTTCCCACATCCAAAGCCATGCCATCATTATCTGTGTCATCACCCCCTCATCGCATGCACTTCTTCCACCTCAATCTCCTATGAGTTGGCTTCCTCAAACTGTGGAGTTAATGTGGATGTAATTCTCTTCTGCAGTCCAGTGTTAAGCCTAGGGTCTTCTTCAGCCCCTAAGCCCATATGACAGCCAATAAGTCTTCACCCTCAATCACCTGCTCTGCCTAGTGGTGACTGGTACATTCACTTGTGCGATCAGGTTCATTGTTCATCCATGACAATGGGGTCTCTGTCCACTTGCATTTTCGTACATCTCCTTGAGGTTTTTTCTGTATCGAACATATACTAGATCCTTTAATTTCTCTTTCTCTAGCATGTTGCTCCTTTAACTAAAGAATTGTGAAAGAAAAAAACAAAAAACAAAATAACAAAAACTTACTTATCAATGGCTAGTGCACTTCTACCATCTAGATTACAGAGTTCCAAGTAAAAAGACTTACATGCTCGAATTTGCTGTTCCATTCGTAACCGGGTGAACTATAAGTCAGACTTAATAACTAAATGGCGAGTTATTGTAGCTGTGGTGTCTCGCTCCCATAAGATGCCCAATACTCAGCTATATATTGACATATTCAATAACTTAATACAAGTTAATCAAAACTAAAACAAAAATTTTTATCAAGTTTTTAATCTTTGTATATTCATTATTCATACAACTTTGGATTTCTATTCGTGTAGTTTTCCTAATCCAAATTGTGGTTTCTCCTCCACTCCCTCAATGCACTCTTAAATTTGATCAACTCATTATTTTGGATTTCATCTCATCATCATAAGAGCCTTATCCCAACTATTTGGGGTTGGATATTATTTTGCATTTCATCTAGTATATTTTAATTAGTGGTCAATGTCTCAATAACATCTAAGAAGCCTCCATTGATTGTACAATCTAATCCAATGATCAGGTATCTATAAGAAGAGGATGAATTTTTAGAGAGTATTTCGCTGCATGGAGAGATCAAAGCATTTTGTCACGTCTCTTATTTATAATCTCTGTTGTGGGCTTGTATATGCATTCATCTTCCTTAAGAACCGAATTGATCCTTCTTTTGCTCAAATCATTGCCAGTGTGTGTAACCCAAGGTAGAGTTTGCTTTTCCATTAATTAACCTTAACACTCTTGCCAAACAACGAGAAATGTCAAATGTAACGTAGATATCACCCCAGAAAGATGTATTTAACATATTTTGCTCAGATTTTCTCTCATGCTTTATCCAGTGACTTCTAGCCCAGCTTTCTAAAAGTGAGCATACTCCTTGGTGCACCTCTATTCTTCCATATAATTTGGGAGTCACATATGTTGTGCCAAATCTAGTAACTCCTGTTTCACTATTTCTCTCTTCTTCATGATCTCTGTCATTATCCTTAGAACAAATGTACGGTTATAGACAAAACAAATGATTCCCTTAGCTTTTTAAATTATCCAATGAGACTTCCCTATGTTGTCAAGCATAAGGTCTAAACAGTGTGTTGCACCAGGAGTCTAAATGGACCACTGCTCAGTGAACGAAAAGGAAGTATCTAATTTGAGCTCCAAGCTGATCCGTCAAATTGACCCCTCAGGAACAGGGGGTGGGGTCTAGTATTAGCACAACGATTAGGTTAGTGGGGCTCCAAAAGCCTTTGGTACATGAGCTTATTCAAAACCTACCAGGAGTAGCAACCAAGAGACTTTGAAACCAGGTTACTGTAAATGAGTGTTGCCTATAGAAAGTTAGCGACCGGCCTGGAAATATGCAAGATGTCATAGTTCCCCGCTATTGGTCCAGTTCTGTTGACACAAAAAAAAATCCCAAGATTTCATAGCCTCGTCAAACCTTGTTGACAGCATCAAGTCAAGTTCCATTGATGCCCCTGGGGGGCCTGCTATAAAGTAATCTGTTTGGGATGAGACAAAACTCATGCAAGGTGTTCTTTTTTCTTGAAGTTGTTAACTGTGCTATATTAAAAGAGAGGAGTAAAAAAAAAAGGAGGGGGGGGGGGGGGGGGGGTTGGCGGGGGGGTTAGAGACCACCCACTAGACAGGGGCTCTAGTCCAAAAAATAGGCTAACCATAGAATGGCGGCCCTATACAAGAAATGGGGTTACCCAATACACGAAATGGGGGTAACCTAGTATTTATGCACAAGAAATACAACTAAATGGATCCAGTAGCTCAAAGGAACGTATGGGCATCCTAAAAATCAGGTATCCCAAAATTCACGCAAGGTGTTCAATCAATCGTTATAGAAGAATGTATCACTCCATCAATAGGTCCGTAATTCCACTCCTATGTCAGTCCGAGTGTCATACAGGGTCATTTGATTACTCGAGAGTAGACAAGCCAGTTGCCTTATTTCTTTCCTTTGCCAAGAGTAGAATGTTCTCGCTCTTCGGTTAAGGTTGGCAGCTTCTTTGTACTTGTCATAATTTTCTTCAAGCTTCTTCTGTACTTTGACAGTGTGATCCTTGGATATGCTCGGCCACCATACATTCTATGAGAAACTACTGATGACTATGTATGGGCCTTCTATGAACCCATATCTTGTGTCCTCTCTGGATCCTGCCATGCAATTATGGCCAAGGATGAGTCTTGCATCCCAGCCTGCTATTTATATATTTCTTCAAGCTTCTTCTTTACTTTGACAGTGCAATCCTTGGATATGCTCGGCCACCATATATTCTATGAGAAACTACCGAGGACTATGTATGGGCCTTCTATGAACCCATATCTTGTGTCCTCTCTGGATCCTGCCATGCAATTATGGCCAAGGATGAGGCTTGCATCCCAGCTTGAGTATCTTTTCGACCAGCTTGGTTGATGCCACATTATCTGAGCTCCTCCAGTAAACAACCAGCTTCGCTCGCTTCCAGTGTCACTCGACAAAGTGTCATCAAGCTTTTATATATGTTATTCATTCAAGGAACCTGAATCTAACTCTCAAGCGGCCATTCACAGGGTGTTGGATCTCAGCGGAGGGCTCTTCAAAAGGAAAATGAGACCAGGGAGCAGAGCCTTCTCCATTTAAGTAGCATATTATGGCTAATAGATTGATATAAAAATGTACAGGGCCAATGGCTCTTTCTAGAGATTCAAAGCCCATCTGGTTTGAGAAGGGATACAATCTAGTAAGTAGTAAGAGATTGGGGAGACCTATTGGTTGGTATAGTTTTTACGCACCAGGTGGTCAGCAACAACACTTACTATATACAGTCTGGAGGGGGACGAACTTTGGCGTCGACCCACATGACAGGGAAAACAACTAGGAGAATTTTTACATGAGTAGCCATTATCGGATAAGAACAATATCCTCCATGCTGGATAAGGTGGCTGAACCTTAGTTTGAATTGAGATCGACAACCACATTCCCAATCGGCAACCAGAATTGGAATAATTAATAAACCAAGCTCAAGGATCATGATTCACTTGATCCAAGTCATATTTACCTATCTGACTCAGAATTGTTCGATACCATATTCTAAAACTATGTGTCTCATCTCTCGTGCAAATGCATTCCCATCGTAAAACAGAGCCTCATTAGCGACTCAATACCCCCAAAAGCCGAGGTAAAGATGATGAATCAAATGTAAATAATATCTCAAATTCCCTAATATATTCCATAACCAAGCCACATATATCAATTACTTAAACCTTAAAGCTTTTGTCCAATATAAGCAACGCTTCATTTTATAACTTGTTGAAATTTATTGCATCACTGAGATAAACTTCAGAAATAAGTAACCTTGGAAAGTCCCTAATACAAAACCAAATCCAATTGCTATTCCATCATATCTTTTGACGCAATACAACACTCATTCTAAAGGTCTAAATGCCAAAACCCCATGTCTCCATCTATTTCCTAAAAAAAAAAAAATACTCAGAAACCACAAAATATCTCAACTTTTTCCTTTATATAATAGATGATATTTTGTAGGTGTGGGGCCAAAAGTTTGTTTCATTATTCCAATACTACCCCTACTGGGGATCCGAGTGAGCATATGGGGATTTCTTTGAGCAGTCGAGCAGGTGCTGTGACAAGCACAACCAGCACAAGTGAATGGGGAGTGCAGAAAGATTATATCAAAACGAGTATCTTCCAATGGAATCTCATCTTGCACAAGTACCATAATCCTCCCAAGACGAATACACAAGTAAGAAATACAAGTCAAATTCAAAGCCCCAAGGGATGTGGTAATCCTAAATAACTTAAAAAAAAAAAAAAACTGAAACTTAACAAGCTCAATTAAAGATATTTCTGCAAGATCAAAGTAAACCTCATAAAAGACATAAACCCCAAACAGATTAGATTTTCAAAAACAACCAAAATCTCTAGTACTCTCTAATTGTCTTATAGTGGGCATAAGTTTGTTGC